ATAATAATAATAATAATAATAATAATAATAATAATAATAATAATAATGTTTTTAAAAGTTCAGTTGACTTAATTTCATGTTTAACCTCTGACTAACAAAATGGATGAATTAAGGCTACAGATTGCAAAGACTAAATTAATTGAGAACTGTGTTTTGCTAATCACAAAAACTTGGCTTCATTCATTCATTCCAGATGGAAGCTGTTGAGCTGGAAGGCTACTTAGCTCACCAGCAGGACAGGAGTAGAGATTCTGGCAAGATCAAAGGGGGAGGTTTAAGCCTTTATGTGAACAAAAGCTGGTGTATCAATACAAAGACTGTAGACAGCCACTGCTCCATAGATCTGGAGTATGACTCTTAAATATAGACCCATATATCTTCCATGGGAATTCAGCATGGTTTTGATTACTGCAGTCTATATCCCACCTGATGCCAATACTACCATAGCTTTGGGATTCTTGTATAACATTGTTAGTAATCAGTGGAATAAGTATCCTGATGCTGTGCATATCATAGTGGGGGACTTTAATCAAGCAGATTTAAAAGCAGTGCTCCCTAAATTCTATCAGCATGTTAAGTTTGCTACTAGAGGACTGTGCTGATCAGTTGGCTGGAGTCTTTACCAGGATCTTCAATCGGTCTTTACCCCAGTCTACTATTCCATCTTGTTTGAAGGCTTCCACCACTGTTCCGCTGCCAAAGAAGTTCCCTATCAATAACCTCAATGATTACAGACCAGTGGCACTCACTCACTATCATCATGAAGTGCTTTGAGAAATTGGTCTGCCGGCACATCATTTCTGGTCTTCCGCACACATTTGATAAACACCAGTTTGCATACAGAAGAAATAGGTCTACAGAGGATGATATAGCCATCACTTTTCACACTACTCTGACTCACCTAGAACAGTGGGGGGTTATGTGAGGATGCTTTTTGTAGATTTTAGTTCTGCATTTAACTCAATTCTTCCACATAGACTAATGTCTATACTTCTGGACCTTGGCCTTTCTTATTCAATCTGTCTTTGGATTTCCTGTCTGGCTGCTCACAGAGGGTCAGATTAGGTAATCATACCTCTTCAGCCCTTATTCTTAACACTAGTACACCACAGGGTTGCGTGTTGAGTCCCTTTTTATGTGCATGACTGCATTCAACTCATGCTAGTAATAATATTGCTAAATTTGCAAGTGATACAACAGTGGTGGTACTTATCCCCAGGAGGTGATGAGGTGGACCGGTTGCTTTTGTGGTGTGGAGACGATAACTTGGTCCTCAACACCAATAAGACCAAGGAGCTTATAGTGACTATAGAAGGAACAGATCAGACATCCAGCCCTTGCTTATCAATGGAGACCGAGTGGAGCAAGTGGCCAGTTTTAAGTTTGCAGCACTGGTCAAAAGGGCCCAGCAGAGATTATACTACCTGAGACTTCTCAGAAAACAACAACTGAATGAAAAACTTCCACCTTCTACCGCTGCACCATAGAGAGTATCTTTACTGCACCTCTGTATGGTTTGCCAATTGAACAGTGGCAGATAGGAAAGCACTCCAGAGGGTTAACGTCATTGCCCAGAAAATCATTGGTTGCCCTCTATGCAAGAGCTTTATAGCTCCCGCTGCCTTAAAAAAGTTCAAAACATTCTCAAAGATTCATCTCATCCTGGGCACCCTTTTTTTGAACTATTACCATCTGGCAGATGGTACAGAATAATAAAAACAAGCACAAATAGGCTGAAAAACAGCTTCTATCCCAGGGCAGTAGCTCTTTTGAATTCAACTGTATAGTGCAGTGTTGGTGGGGTGTTGAGGGTTTTCGGTTGAATGTGTGGAGGGTGAAGGATGTGTGTTTGTGTTTATTTTCATGGTAATGGTCATGATGTGCACTGAAGATAGTGTTTGATTTCGTTGTACGAGGTGCAATGACAATAAAGTAAACTAAACTAAACTAATGAATAAAAGAAATAATATAGAAGTAGAAATAATAAAGGTTGACAATAAAATATATAAAATAAAACAATAAAACCTAGTCATTTCAACAAATTTTTAAGAGATAAATAAGAACAGGTATTTATGTGGATTATGAGACCATCATCATTATTTATAGATTACTTGGAATTTGCCTACATGGTAGAACTTATTTGCAACTCAAATATCCACATTTGCAGCATTTTCATGGTCATTGTTACTCTACAGAGTAATTAAAAAATTGAGTCATTCAATCTGCATGTTCCATTTGAGGTTTAGTACTGCATTAACTAGTTCAGTGTTTGTGATGATTTTATAGAATATAACTGCCACAAATGAGAATTAATTTTAAAAATAAGTTTGTTATGTATTGTCTATTGTTATTAATTGTTGTTGTTTTAATACCATTTTCAGGATTTTAAGCTTCTTGAAGTCAGTTAAAAATTGGAGTGGTATATGAGCCCAGGAAAAAAATAAACAAGATTTGGAAACACTTTACACAGTGAACAATAGATTAGCAATACTTCAATCACTTCTTTAATACCTTCTACCATTAGCCACACCCAGAAACCTATGTTCTCTCTTTAAGACATAAGACATAAGAATTTATTTGTCATTACACTCGCTAGTGGGTGCAACGAAATGTCTGATATATTTCCAGAATGCTCTAAACTACCAATTTTCCATACAAAATCAGTTATTTTGTATTTTGAAGAGCATAGGGGAATCTCCATTTGAAATGGGATGTTTAAATTTAAAATGGGCCATGTTTTGCATATCATCTGACATCTTATAAGGTCTCCTGATTATGTGCAATGCATATTTAATCTATCATTGTACTCAGTCGCACATCTAAATTGTCTGCCCCAAACCCTTTCATACAGAGAAAAGTCCCATTAATTTCAATGTTCTACTTGGACAAATGGATTCAGGGCATTATTTGTGGTCATGCAGGAAACATACACAAAGTAAATAAAACTTTAGAAAGATGCTCTATACCAGATGAAAGTCATCAACCTGATTCATCACTTAGTGCCTATAGTTCTTTTCATCAAAGAAGCTACAAGATTGATTAGGATACAGATTAAGATCTTTTACATTAAAGCATTTCCCTGCTTACTGATATATGTAAAAAATAATTATGAGCTTCTTATAGATCTTCATTCATATTCTATTGCTTTACTAATTGAGTGAATGTAAAAAATGTCATTTTTTCTTTATTAATCCCATATTAAGTTCTAAGCACTTATTTACAAATTATATTCTTTAAAAGTTCATTTAAAGCATGTCTTTATTGAAAATTTAACACATAAATACATGGATATTGTTTAACAATCTGTTATCCATTTCCACTATAACTTTGTCCAGCCTTGTTACTTTTTGAATGTTCTGTACCTAGAGGATCAGCAGCTGCTCTTTGTTTATTTCTTCCACAAATTACTAATATATTTGGATAGTTCAAGTCAGAAGTGAGGAAAAGTACATTCTTGAGATCTGCTTAGCATCATTTTCATTTTGAAAAAAATCATAAAAGATAACTATCATGGCTAACTAATAGAAGTTTTGATCAGCCTCTTCCTGCTGAAATCTTTCTAGAAGTTTAAATTATAATTTTCATCATCCTGTATTTTCAATGGTCAATGATACTAGGATCAGTTGTTCTCTGAATCAGTTCTGTAAATTCCTAAGGGATTCCAAGTGTATGTAATAGCACAATAAATTTGCCTAACCCTTTAAGTATAATATATAATTCTGAAGATTAGATTATTTCAAGTGACAAAAGGGAAAATCTTGTCTTTAAGCTTTTTAAAGGCACCTGCCTGCATCTAGTATCACTGGAATATTTAAATATGTAAGCATATTTAAATATTCTTAACACTGACTGTCTTGCTACCAACAAAAACTGTTTGGAATCCTCAGAAGAAAAAAATGAGTAATATCTAAATGGTGACTAATGTTTGAACCTGTCCATAAATATAGATTCAAAATGCATTCTGCATAACATGATTTAGTTTGCAGTCATACTGTATCAACACTATTAATTTTTCCATAGACATTTATATTATGTTATATAAGTTTGGCCAAACAGGTGACCAATTTGAACTGCAGCAATAATGAGTCAGTAACAATAGCCTGCATGTGGGCATAGGACTTTAAATTTGTATAGGAAATATCAGTGAGATGTAAGATTAAAGGCCTTCTTATCATATAGTTAAATAAAGAAAGATATATATGAAGTGCTGTTTTTTTGTCCCACATGAAAGCAGTCACATACACAGACAGATGTTTTTGATATGCCATAGAAGGTTATTTTTTCATCTCCAAGATGGCGCTGCCTGGCCCACGGTGTTTAGCACTGCAAATATTACAGAAGTGTAATGAAGATTCCTGGAAATAAAAAAATATTGATTGGTTTTATAATATTACTGCATATTTGGCAGCAAATGAAAGCAAAACATCTGACAAGATTATGACATTTTTTTTAGAAGTGCAACCAACAGAATTGAAATAAGAGATTATAGTTGTTTTGTTTGTTTTATTTAATAAAGGTAGAAGTATAAAAGAGAAAATTTGGCCAGAGCATTACAACATTCATTCTTAAGTAAAAATTCATATACATGGTCTATGGTTCAAATCCATTAGGTTTGCCAAATTAGTTAAGTGTCCAGTGAACTTTGGATTTCATTTCCTTCTCTCTTTTTTGCATACGTGTGTGTGTGAGTATATGTGTGTGTGTATACTAATAACATATATATTTAATATAAATAGCTACATGCTTAATGACTGAAATTACGACAGACCCACAAAGTTATGACCCATCCTCAAAATTACAGCTGCCACACAACAACCTCCCAGCCCATGGTGCTTGGCAACTGGCTTGCATTTACAACTGGCTGCAACATCCTGCAGTCACATAACAATGATTTGTGATATTTTTTGGTCAGTTTCCAGCAAAAAAGAAAAAAAATGCTCTTCACAACCATATGATAATCACTGCTGATGTTAAGCAAATCATATGGCTGTGAAGGAATTCCATTTATGACTATCATAAAAAAGATTGTAAACTTGAGTCAGTGACCCACTTAATGACTCCAATGACTGGAGATTCTTTCAGTTGTGCTTGTTAAGTGAGGATTACCTGTATATATTTTATTATATTGCTTTATTATATATCATGTCTCGGTGGCACAGTGGTTAAAGTGCAGTACTGTAAACTACTTCTGCTGGCAGTCACCTGCCTGCAATTTGACAGATCGAATCCCATTAGGCTCAAGGTTGATTCAGCCTTCCATCCTTCTGAGGTGGGTAAAATGAGGACTCAGATTGTTGGAGGCAATATGCTAACTCTGTAAACTGCTTAGAGAGGGCTGTAAAGCAGTATATAAATCTAAGTGCTATTGCTATTGCTATGTTCATATTCTTTGAATTACAGGCTTTAATATAATTAGAAACCACTTATGATAGCCGTTTACTTTAAGGATGATGGATTGTACTGTTGTTTGAGAAGCACAAATTCAGATTTCCGTTGCATGAATGGGGTTAGTCAAATGCTTTTTAAAAGATTAATCAATATTTATGAAATGTGCTCAGTATGAAATGTGACACCTTACTCTGTGAGCTTCACTGATTCTCAGTTTGCTTCTAGATGTGATTCACTATGCTAGTTATTACCAATAAAGCCTTACAGAGCATAGGGTCTGGTTACTGGGGGACTGTTTGTCTCCCATAGCATCTGTCTGGTTGATTAAATGTGGCAGGATTGAAGTGCTCTGGATATCTTCAATTAAACAATAATCTATAAAAAAAACCAACATTTTCTCTACTGTAGCTCATGCCCTCTAGAATCAGATTCCTCTAAAATCTGGATGGCCCCCACCTTGTTGGTATTTCAGAGAGCTTTGAAGATTTGGTTTTGTATCCAGGCCTTTGGCAAGGGTGATTGAGGCCCCCTTCCACAAAACATGGGTGTGGTTTGGATGTTGCCTGGTTTGTGCTATGTTTTGTTCTTTGTTTTTATCATTGTTTTATTTTATGTCCTGTGTGTTTTTATCTGCAAACTATCCAGAGTGATTGAGAATCAAGGTATAAAATTAAATGAATAAATGCCTCTCAAACATATACAACCATATACAACTGGGTTTATTTACTCCAGTAACAAAATAACAGTTGTAATCTTAAAATCTACAACTTGAATTTCAACACTGCAAAACACATGAAAATATTCCATATTTATTTTTAAGAAGATGCTTAAATATAGGGAGAAATAGAATCTAAATGTACTTCAGTTCTTAGAAATGAAATTGATCTTGCTCAAGGGGACTCTAATATTTTGCCTGTTAACTGCAAGGAATAAGCTGGTTAAAATCGCTTCTGTGATTCAAGACAGGAATTAATTAGAAAATGACTTCTCCAATAATCTTTTCAGTCCCAGAAGTAATTGTCACTGAACTGATTGAGAATCCCAGTTAAATATGTACAGTATTGCAACATGCATTTTGAGTGCTAAATTATGCAACAAGTATTTTGACCCTATTGTGGGAAAATCATTTTTTTCCACAGATTAAAATGCCTCCCTAACCATTCAATCATTAAACTAGTAGGTTTTACTAAAGCTATCAAAATATATGCAGCTTACTAGATAATTTGATTTTTAAGTGCCCATACTATTAAATGATATAAAAAAACCTTTTGTTAAAGTTTCCTTTTGCTATCTGAGTTACAGTTAGATTCATAGAATAATACAACTGTTAAAAAAACACAGTGTATAATACAGATGGAAGTGGGAAAAGAAAGATTATTTTGAATCACCATAATATTGTAACTTGCAACTCCTGCACAGATCCAGGTAAGAATTAATAATAATCCTCAGTAAACACATGCTCTTCTCAGTAGCTGGCAAAAATATTTCATTTGTCCTTTTGCCTTTGACTAGGATACAAATAGATTAAACTGGTCACTTACTGTGTTAGGTTCAGGAAAACATTCTTTGTGGAACATATGCCTGCAATGAAATACTATTACACTGAAAGATTTAGATGCATCTGGCAAGGGAAAAGAGAAAAATACATGATGTACAGTAATGTAAGTAACAAAAATCAGCAAAAGATTGTACTATGACAAAATATTAATACTTTGTTAATGAGGAGATATTTATGAACATTTTCAAATTTCTTTTACCAATTAGATAAACTGAGTTTTGTTTGTGCATTTATGGAGATATCCTGTAACTATGTAGCATTATGTGGAAATGCTAATATCTGAAAGTCCTTAGAAATACCATGACGTTTTCTACTGTTTTATGGCTTTGTCCACGAAAAAATATCTTGTAATGTTCTGTGATTGTGACTACATCTTTGAGTCAATCCTAACTCCTCGTGATTATTTATACAGGTCCATGTAATTTTTAGCATTTTCAGAAGTGGTTTCCCATTGCCTACTTCCTAAGACTTTTGAACAGCACAAAATCAACCACCTTGCTTAATGGCACAAAAAAATCACTCTCCTAATTTCTAGCCTAGTGCCTTTAACCACTATAGCATACTGGCTCTCTAATATCCTCCTTATAAATGCAAATATTCCCTCCCCCTCCCCAAAAATCTTTATTAAGAACCCCATTCTTTTTAAAACATTCCTTAGGCAATCTAATGAAAGTATCTTGTAATATTGTGATTCCATTGTTGGCAGTTGAAGATAAAATAATATTTATCAGGAACAGAGATTATTTTTCTTCTTGAAAAAGTCATGTTTATCCATGGAAGCAGGTAGACATCTACGATTCCAAGATGAACATACGTTGTGAGAAATTAACTAGATATGACACATCTAGATTAGTAAAATATCCTATCTCGAGATCTCTTTCCATAAAATGGATTATTATGGCCTCTTGAAATACAGCAGTGAAATTCAAAATCATCCATTATTTCTTTTCCTACTTAATTTTATATAGCTTCTCAATTCAATTAAATAGTAATTAATTTGTTAATGAATGGTGAAATTGCACAGTCATACTGTAAATGGGATTTCTTTATCATATAAAATAGCATAGCCCTAATCTTTTTTAAAAGGAAGCAAAGGTAATAGGATTATCACTAACTCTGGGAGGCAACATTTTGATAGCAGAGACTACAGTTATGAATTTTGGAGAACCATGGGCTACAAAGCTAGGATACTTTCATATTTGGAACTGAAGTGTACTGTCTTCTTAATTCTGCAAAATTTCTAAAAGGAGTCTTGTTGTAAGTTGAGAACTACCTATAATTTGAAATGTTTTATATATCTCTTGAAGCAATACCAACCGTTTCAAGCAAGTATCAGAAAGGGTTCCAATGGTATTAGAAAGGATCACATTTAGATTACTCAACATTTTTGTTTGAATTTATGTGAGAAATAATGCAAATGGAAAAGAAGAGAAGATATGGCTAGGTTTACTGGTGGGGCACTAAAAGAACATTTCTAAGAATTAACATTACAGCAACCAGATATTCTAAACCAGTGATTCCCAAAGTGGGTCGTACCACCCCCTGGGGGTGGGTGGGATGACTTAAGAGGGCACTAAGAGGCAAGGGGGGTGGCAGAAGCGTGCTGGAGGTGGGCCCCTCACAGGGCGCAATTCAGGGGTGGGATTCTACTGGTTCATTACCATTCCTGGTAGTTTGGAGAACCGGGAAAATGGGCCCCCGGCTGGCCCCACATCTCTCCGCCTGCTCCTCCGTTTTCTGCCCAGTCAGTCCTTACTGCACATGCATGACATCGCGTGCATCGCTGATGGCCACAGTGGCATGTTGGAGAAGTGGAGCAAGCAAAGCTGGAGGTAAGTAATTTTCACTGCAAAAAGCCTCCAGACGCCGTGTCTTTTTTTCAGTGTGGCTGCAGTCCAGCCGTATCGAAAAAAACATGCGGTGACTGCAGGCTTTTTGCAATGAAAATTACCAACTTCTGGCTTTGCTCTGCTTCTCCAATGCACCACTGCCTCCGCGTTCTAGGCACCAGCCATGCAGGCCTAACCCCATTGACTGCTGTACTACTCCGCTCAGACTTGCTTGAGCAAGTCCCTCCAGTGCAGTGGGCTCAATAGGGCAGATCTGCGGGGCCGGCACCTAGAATGTGGCCGCAGCAGCACGTTGGAGAAGCAGAGTAAAGCTGGAGGTTGGTAATTTTTGCTGCAAAAAGCCTCCTACCACCGCAGAGGAAGGTAAAGTCAAGGCCATGGGATGACGAAAGAGGTGGTCGTGGAAGAGGAAATGGGGCCTCTGAATGGGGAAACAGGGTAATGCAGGATTAGCCCAGGCCTTTGACAGATTAGGCCATGCCTGCCTGGGCAGAAAATAGGTAGATAGGTTAGGGAAGGGACAGAGAGAGAGAGAAAGAGAGAGAGAAAGGGAAAGAGAGAGAAAGAGAGAGGGAACAGACAAGAAAGTAAAGAAAGAAAATGGGAGAGAGAAAGGAAGAGAAAGGAAGAGAAGGGATAGACAAAGAAAGGGGGATGGAAGGAAGGGACAGAAAGAGAGGGGGAAAAAAGGAAAGAGAGAAGGAAAGAGAGAAAAAAGAGCTAGTGAAAGAGAAAGAAAGAGGGAGGGAAGGAGGAGAAAGTGAATGCGATAGGGAGGGAAGGAGGGAGGGAGAGAAAGAGAGGGAAAGGGAGAAAGAGAGAGAAGGAAGAGACAAGAAAGAAAAGAGAAAAGGTAAAGAAAAAGGGAGAAAGGAAGAAAATGGATAGACAAAGAAAGAGTGGGGAATGGAAGGAAGAGACAAAAAGAAAGAGAAAGAAAAAAGAAAGAAAAGAAAAGAAAAGAAAAGAAAGAAAGAAAGAAAGAAAGAAAGGGAGAGAGGGAGGAGAAAGTGAATGAGATATCTAGTCCAACCACCTGCTTCAGCAGGGTTAGAAGGGAGTGTGTGTGTTTGTGTGTGTGCGCACGTGCACCCGCGCATGGCTGTCAAAACTCCAAAAACAGGTCAAGTTGCTCTGGGGAGGTCAGTCATAAATTAGAACACTTGCTAAGCAACCGGCCATTAAGCAAGGACCACTTGTATTTGGTTTGCCAGTCACCTGGCCACGCCCACCCAGTCATGTGATCACCAAACCACACCCACCCGATTATGTGACCAGCAAGCCACGCCCAGCCAGTGGGCACTGAGGATGAGTTTATAGCACCAAAGGGGCGGTGGACTGAAAAAGTTTGGAAACCACTGTTCTAAACAGATTCCAGCCAGAACACGTACAATATAGTAAATGCAAAGTACAGCCATATAATCCCACCTGTAGGCAGTATAGGAGACAGGCATATTTCACAGATATTTTCCTCTATAAGAAAAAATAATGAAATACAAAGGTTAATATAATATATTGGTTTCTTTTTTGAGCAGTAATTCTCAAAGTTGAAAAATCTTTAGTAGTCCTTGACTTACAACCATTTGTTTAGTAACCATTTGAAGTTACAACAGCATTGAAAAAAGTTAATTTAGTGCCATTTTTTACATGTACAACTATTGCAGCATCTCCATGGTCACATGATCAAAATGTGGATGCTTGGCAACTGACATGCATTTATGATGGTTGCAATGTTCCAGGGTCATGTAATTACCATTTATAACCTTCCCAGCCAGTTTCCAACAAGCAAGGTGAATGGGGGAAGCTAGATTTGCTTAAGCAATGTATGATTCAATTAACAACTGTGGCAAGAAAGGTCATAAATTGGGAGAAAATTCACGTAATTGTTTTGCTTAGCAACAGCAATTTTGGGCTCAATTGTTATTATCAACCAAGGATTACTTGTATAAGAAAAATAGGTTTAGATATCAATGAAAATATTAATATATATTCGGTGCCTATAAATATCTCATGAACTACTGTCTTTGGTAGACTAAATAATACAATTGAGAAATCATGCGCTCAACTATTGTTGTAGCAATAGTTGTACCTCATAAATCTGTTAGTTGAATGAAATGAGAGATAATCCCAAAAACTCTTCAACTGCCAAGATAGGTTTTAATAGAAGAGAATATGTGTAGCTCAGGGATAAACTGTGAAGTCCTTGGTGCTCAGAGAGCTCAGAGATAGACTTATATTTTAGTATTTGCAACAATTTATAGAACTTACCATCCACAAGCAGTCCACGCATTTGTGTTCGGTGCATCTTTTTCAATAATGAAAGAGAGTCAGCCACAAGAATCTTCTTGCAACCTTCTCGAAGCAAAATCTAAAAAGGACAAAGACACAACTATATGATAATTTGTAAACAGGCTTTCAAATCTTATTACTAAGTCTAAATATTATTACTAAAGACAAGGATTTTTGGAGCTTTAAAAAAGGAATAATTAAAATTAAGCATTATCAATGTTAAATATGTGCCATAGTACTTAATTATATGTAGAATCCTACTAGAATTTCAGGATAAAACTTTTTTCTATAAGTTTCCTTAAGAAAGACATGGATATCTGCAAATGACCTATTCTTATTTTCTGATACATTTTAATGTCATTTTTGACAGCAGCATTTAATGTCATTTTTGACAACAGCATTTACATTTTCTTAATAATCATTTGCATTATAATAAATGAAATCTGTACCAGTAGCAATATAACCTTCTAACAAATAGCTACCGAATCAAATTTAGATGAAATTTCCTAATTGGTTAATCAATTAAATTTTATTTAATCTTTTACATTAGTGATATCTATTGTTCCTTCTTATTGCAATGTTTTTCATTCTATCTCTTGTTTAAAATTTCCTTTTGCTAAAGCTTTGCCTTTGAAGAATAAGAGATTAATTATTCCCAAATTATTATTTGAAGCCATGCACTAATGGCAGATTATTTGGGTTTGGACCAAGTAATCAAAAGGAGAAATAAAAGCAAGTGTCTGAACATATTTAATAATTTTTAATGTGAAAAGCATCAGATCTTTGGATTTCTAAGAACAATGGGGAACAGAATAATGCATGTGGTTTCCTCCACTCTAATATTGCTTGCAAAGTCATTAAAAGCCATGTTAATGGTATTTCCTGTAAATTCAAAAAGTGATTTCAGAACATTGAGGAGTAATAGTGGTTTTTTTGTTATTGATGTTTATTTCCTTTAGATTAGTTCAGTGTTACCATTGAAGTCCACATTTCTTAAGAGTAGCTGAATTAGGAGAATAAACATATAATGTTTATGTGTTACATAAATGATACCAGAAATTTTGCATGGGTTTTATAAAGAGCAAAGTAGAATTTTAACACAAATATTTACAATTTTAACTGAAAGTTGACAATTTGAACCAAGGATTATCACTGAATACTGATGATGAAGAAATGATCAGACACAGTAAATAATATGAATAGTTGATAATAAATAAAAGATAAATCAGAATTGTAACAGTAAACAGTAGATCCTAACTAGAGAGATAAATAAAAGTTTATCTGTCAAATAAGTGGAGGAGCCAACTTGGCCTGAAAAATCCCTGCTAGTTGAAAATTGAATATCTGAAAGTTAAAGAAAGCAAGAATATATTTATGTAAAATTTAGTTTACCAGTGTTAGAAATCCTACGGCTCACCCTGAAAGATCATTTTTTTCATATTTTATGAAAGCAAAATATTCATGTTCTTTGAAAGTTTTGCATGCACGGCTGTTGAAAATACAGGATCTTTGTGTGTGCGTGTATGCACGTACGTGCTTGTGTGCACATGTGAAATGTCAAAATTAGGAAATTATTGCTTTATTGCTTAAAATTCAATGTAATCTTACTCACCCTGGCAGACTTGTCAGAGTGCTGATTGTGATTTAATTATAATAAGAAAATACTGCCAGTGAAACAGCAATTTATTTTCTACTAGCTAAATACTGCTCCAAGGCATGTGTCACTTTTGATGCATGAGTGGCTCTACTTTAAGAGAACGCACAATTTTATGGCTATATACATTAAACTACAGTTGTCAGTACTCTACTTTATTTATGATTTAATATTCACTTCATTGAATAGTGAGATATAAAATTCATTGAATAGTGAGATATAAAATAGTGAAATATGAAAGAAATTTTTAGAATGCAGCTTTAACTTACTTACTTTTTTAATTCCAGATAGACAACTTTGTCTTGCCCTGCCATGAATATTAGGACACCATCTCATAGGCTTAAATTATTGTCAGTGAGGACAATGGCATTACCAAATGTAGTGATCTTCATGCTACTTTTATAAATACAGTGGAAGCACGCTACCTAATGCAAACCACATCTTGATGACAGTATTGCTGGAGCCATATTGTCCAATTTTGTCCAAATTTCATGAGTTTCCTTTGAATGAGGGGCTATCAGTGTATAAATCAAATAATGAACACAGGTGATGATTTGGCAGTTATTATACCCATACTTGATGTTGCCTTGATAGCCATTTTTTTCAAAGAATCATAGTGCTGATATGGATCTTAGATGTACTCTACTCTAACTCTTGCTTGGTATAATATCTTCTAAAGGAATTCAGAGAGATGGTTATTGAATTTCTATTTGAAGATCTCCAAGTAAAATGAAATATATTTCTTTGAGAGGCAGCCTATTCCATTGGTTGATGGCTTTTACTATCAAGAAATAGTTCACTTCTAAGTTGAATCTAGTTTCCTATAGTTAAATTCTGATGCTGCTCTCCTGGACAACATAGAATAAGTCCATATCCTCCTTTATTTGACAACTCTTTCCATATTTGAAGATTGCTATAACATTTCTCTTCAATCTTCTTTTCTGCAAGCTTTTATATTTAATTTCCTTCACCGTTCTTCACAGGACTTGATTTTTATTCTCCTTAGTATCTTGACCCTTCCCTGAACCTTCCCCATTTGTTAACATTCTTTTTAGACTGCGGTACCCAGTATTTAAAGTTGGCCTGATTAGGATGTAGTAGAGTGAGATAATTATTTTTTTATTCTTTAAACTGTCTTCTGTTCCTTAAAAGCTTCTTTTATTCTTCACAAGAATATACATAGTGGTGTCATGAGTGGAGGAATGGATAAAGGAAGCCATAATCTTAAAATTTACCTGCAAATTATAATCCTGAAGAATCTTTACTAATGAATCCCTCAGGTTTGGAATCTCCATACTTTCCTTAATACGATGAATCAGCAGAATAGGGTCAACATGAGTCCCTATATTGTTTAACAAGCCTGTAATAAAAGCTGTACAAACATAGAGGACATTTAAGACAGAATCAGAATGTGGAAGTCTCTTAAGTGGTGTAGATCAGTGGTCGCCTACCGGTGGGCTGTGAGAAAATTTTGGTGGGCCGCAGAGAAATCTCACTCCCAGAGCACCCCTCCCCCATAAGCAATTAATCCAGGCTGCGCAGAAACACAAAGCTGCTCAGCCTACATGGCCCACGGGAACCCTCCCCGCCCACTCACTCCTTACCCAGCAAACTTGTCTGCTAAGTTGCTATTTTTCCTTTTTCCGACCATCATCTGTTCTGCTCTGCCGGGAGATTTAGATTAGCAGGAAATGGTTGGATTTCTTGCTTTCTAGCTAAGCACAGCTGAACCTCCCTTAGGACTGAAGGTTTGCATGCAAGCAAATTCAGTGCAGACTCACAGCAAGCAAATTTGAGACTGAGCTAGCTGATGGCAGATAGATAGATCACTGAATGATTCTGTGAGCAACTCAATCTGCCTGCTTTGCCTGATTTTGGATAAAAGTTGCTCTTTTTTAAAATAAAAAATTCAATATTTACATGCATGGTGTGTTGTGAGTTAATTTTGTGAGTTTGCTTGCTAGCAAATTTTATGAGTTTGCTTGCAAGCAAATTTTATGTGACAGACTGAGCTAGCCAATTACAGATAGATAGATTTCTGAATGAATCTGTGATTCTGTGACCAACTCAATCTGCACTGCCTGATTTTGGGTAAAAGTTGCTCTTTTTTTAATATAAAAATTCAATATTTATATAAATATTTATAATATTTACATACAATCCATGCCCAGCCAGTCACATGACCACCAAGCCACACCCACAGATTAGGCCATGCCCACAGAACCAGTTAGTGGTCCTTGGGATCTAAAATTATGAGTTTGGGTGGTCCCTGAGGTCCAAAAGGTTGGCAACCCATGGTGTAGATTACTATTAAAAGCAGAGAGTGGGAAATAAATGGAAAACTAAAGATATCTCTATGAAAGATCTAGTTATTTATAGGACTTTAAAAAAAATTAAGCTATACACTTTAATTAAAAAGCTATGCAAAACCATTCTTGATGGTTTCATTGTAATTCATTCTACATCATAAAAATCATATAGGTCTGTTCTTTGTTCACTGCCTAATTTATATCATTATTTTTTCAGTACACCTTGTATAAAAGTTCCTAGACTTCAAACCTGCCAGCTTTTATTTATGTATTTATTTAGATGTATACATTATTGTCTTTTACTAAGTATATTTCCCTTGTCTTTCAAGAAGTTTTCTTACATCCTTTTCCTATTAGTCTCTTTTCCTGGTATACTCTATTATTCTTTAACTCAAGCCTCTGATTTTATCATTTCTGAAGGCTGTGTCTTTGCCTATGATTTTTGTGCCATACTTCTAGTTTCAATTTTTCCGAATTATATTTTCTAATTTTACACTATGTTCCCATATCAGCTTTTGCACTTAAGAAGTCTTTCTCTTCTTCCAATATATATTAAAAGCTCCACCCCCCCCCCCCCGCCCCCCAATCACAGCATCCTATCAGTTCCTCACAATGTATTTACATGCAGAGGGAAATTATTTATCTTTGTGGAATTATTTACAAATGCTATTGATGACTTCACATTTGGGCAGGAAAAACACTAGTAAACATTTCATGAAATTACAGCAGTTCCAGCAATAAAAGATAACACGTTTGCAGATGTACAAGGAGAAGGCACTTTCTTTTCTTAAGACAGTCTTGTCATACTTAAATGAATTTTCATTAGGAAAAAATGTAATACCATTTAAATTTTTTCTATTAAGGAGGGCAAATTGCCTTTATAAAGATGCTTAGGAAAACTCCAAAATTCCTAGCATTTCCCCTAATTTGTTAGACAACAGCAAACGTCACACAACTATGGAATAATGTAATCAGTTGCAATTTTTATGGCCATTATGTTCTTTCAATAATTAAACTGATGTTCAGTTACAGTGATGATATTGCAACTCACTTCTTTCTATTATTCAAGTTGGCATTATTTTCAAATCAATCTGTCTATAATGTCCTCCTTACCATTAATTAAATTCATTCTCATTGACACAAACATAACTGTATTATAATAAACTGGGCAAAGACTACACTGCTTACGAGGTTTGTCTATTGAATATAAAATAAGGTCTTCCCAAAGTTCAGCATCATCTTGCTCCTTAGCAAACTCTATAGCTTTATCAACATCATTTAGATCTTCCATGATCATTTTCAGGGCACTTCGACTATTGCCCATTCGACCTGGAAAGCAAAAAAGCAAACAACAACAACAACAATATTAAAAACAATAACAAAGCACCATTTAATTCTATGAGCAGTACCCCCACTCCCCTTCTGGTTTTATTGTCTTCAATGCCTTCCCTAACCTGGTGGTATTCAGATGTGTTAGACTACAACTTTCATAATCCCTAACAAAAGTAACCTAACCATAAATAGATAAATAATAAAGATAAATAAAGAGAGCAGAATTATTGGACCATCTTTCCAGATTGGGAGAGGCTCTTTTAAAATCTGCAGGTTTTTTCCCTTTTAGGAAAGAGCATCTATTTAAATGAAAGCAATATATTCCATTTCCAAAGAAATCAATAGTCCCAGAGTATATTCAAATGGAATTCAGTTACATACTGAATTATATGCATTATATATATTATATAATTGTATACAGGTTGAAAGAGCAGCATAGAGCTGTGATGGTGAACCTATAGCATGCTGGAGGTGGCACGCACAGCCATCTCTCCAGGCATGCCAGCTCTTTTGGGTTCTCTGTTGCTCTTTTGGGTTCCTGCGCACGCATGTGCGCCGGCCAGCTGCTCTTCACATGTGGGAGTGCTGGAACCAGAAGAGCAGCTCCACAGCATGCATGCGTGTGCTGGCCAGCTGGTCTTCACACATGCACGCACACCAGAAATCGGAAGACTAGCTTCCCAGTGCACACATGCTCCCCCCCCCCGGTGCACGCACTCAATACCGAAAAGGTTCGCCAACACTGGCATAGAACACTGCTCTATGCCAGTGTTGGCGAACCTTTTCAGCACCGAGTGCCGAAATGGAAGCGTGCACGTCAGGAATGCTGGAAACCAGAAGAGCAGCTCCACAGTGTGTATGTGCTCTAGAGCAGGGGTCCCCAACCACCGGTCCGCGGACCGGTACCGGTCCGCGGAACAACTCCTACCGGGCCGCTGGCTTGCTGGGCGCCGCCATCTTTTTTTGATGAAAAAGTGCTTCCGGTGAGCTTT